GACCTGCCATCGAATGCTCAAGCGGAGAGGAAACACGCCGCCTATCTTGAACGAGCATGAAAAGATGCGAGGGAAAGAGTGGTCACTCAAATAGCAGCCATGAATATTGATTCCAATAAAGGGCGTGGTTGTGATAGCTGGGGGGTGCATTATTGGCAAGCATCAGTGCATGGTTCGTAAACCGTTCTGCCTGGCACGCTCTCAGCGGGAAGATATTGTGCAATAAGAGCATTTCTTCCTCGAGTTGCGTACTTATTTTCTTACACCAGCATTGTAGTTGCGAGCGTGACGATGTCGAATCCAAAAGAGTTAGCTGTCAGCCTTCGTATTGTCACAGGGTTATGATGTTGACGAAGGCAGGAGCCGTTGTTTTCATGAGCGAACCTTTTATTTGAGCTAACCTGTGCCTGGACAATGAAACGTCACTATACAAACAATATGCGTTGCAGACGGACAGCAGCAAACATAGAGCGTCGATCGTCGATTATCTGCCATGCAGCTAAGTGCATCACCATTTATACAAATGCCATTGAAGATTGCAGCGTTATCGCTAGCGGCTGCATGTGAAAGTTCCAGGACAAACTCTAATGTACAGGTTGTGCACGTTATCTGATCGGAAGGTTCTATGAATATCTACAATAGATGGTTCTGCGGTCATTCGGACGTGGTTTGCCCAAGGCAGCGTTAAACGCGTAATGATGTGGTAACAAAAATAAAAAGAAACGTGTGCGGTATTACCATTAGAACATTACAAATTGATGCTATTGCCATAATCGCTTTCTCAGTGAAACTGATTTTAATTTTTTTTCTGTTTATATGATTTGATAGTCCCGATCGTAGAGGGTGCGTGGTGCTTGGCGGTTGCTCTGCAACGGTGCGGCCAGTTTTTTTTTTTTTTTGCAACATCACTGCTGTCTTTATAGTTTCACTAACATATTTCCTATCAAAACATATGTAGTTGCATAATGAGGTATGCACACAAATGCCACCTTAACAAGATTCATGAATGAACCGAAATACGACGTGACCGCACAAATCTGATATGGACGCGGTTGCGTCCTCTGTTTAGCCCACGCATGTTGCTCGGTCGATGATAAAACTGGACTAAATTTGGCATTGCATGTGCAAATGGCTGTTAGGTGCAGCATTTCCATCCCTGGTAACTGACTAGATTCTCAGAGAAGGCAAATGCACGAGGAGGAGATAGAAAAGCTAGGGGGGGGGGGCCGATGAGATTTTAAAAAATTGGAACATCCTTCCAAAGGGAAGCTCATGGGATGCGAAGCAGTAGTGTTGAGCACAGGTGGTGTCATGGGTTGAATGGCCTTAATGCGGGTGCTGCAGTGTGCGCTGGAAGATTCGTTTGAAGCGATGGCTGGCATAGGTCTTGTAGGTGATACGTACACACATGTTCCAACACGTACATTAGGCGCGTGTCAGGTTTATGGCGCATAAACCGACGAGTTGGCGATGTAGCAAGTGGCGGTCGCAGCAGGTGTTGCGGGTGCCCCAGCGAGCGCACGGCGGATGAGGGAGAACGAAATCAGCACGCACTGCGAGAGGGGAGCGTAATGTTAACGTGCAACATCGACGTGACCTACTTGGCACAGCACCAACGCCTGCGGCGCAACGCATTCGTACAGAGGGACAGTGTTAACAGGCTAGTCAAAAAGCTGCTTCAGATCTGAAAGTTTACAGGTACAACATGGCAGCAGAAAGCACAAGACCGAGTTAATTGGCAGAACATGGCAGAGGTCTCTGCCCAGCAGTGGGCGCAGCCAGGCTGATGATGATGATGACCACTGACAACGGCGTACAGTGTCTTGTGCTATCGGGCACTATTTCGGACAGCAAGCGACATCATCCAAATCAACACTGCATTGGAAGCATATTTCATTGTTTTCGAAACATTTGCCGATGAGTATTCAGTAGAAAAGCTGTGGAACTTGTTTAAAGACAAGATCCTCGAGCTGAGAAACAGATTTGTTCTGTCATGGGTGCTGACCAGAAAGCGTAATAAAGGTAAACTAGGGTTTTGTAGAGAACTCGACGTTTTGGTCAAGCGTAGGCAGAGAATTTACCATTCACTTCGAAAAAATCCCTTGGAAGAGAACTCTTCCAAACTGAAGCTGGCAACGCATGAAGTAAATAATGCTACAGTCGAAATGAAAGCTGCCTACTTTAAAACAATTGAACGTAAAATAACGCGAAACCCAAAAGAACTTTGGAGGTATATCAAATGAAACAAGAAAGACAACATTTCCATTCCCGCTTTGACCAGCAGTGATATTACCGTGAGCGATCCGACAGAAAAGGCCGAGTTGTTCAATTCATATTTCACGTCAGTGTTCTCAGCCGCTACTGACCCAAAAAGACTTGAAAATGTTGACACATGAATCCATATCCATGCCTGATGTAGTACTTGAAGCTCGTGGCATTGAATTACTAGTTATAGATCTATATTGTGTAAAAGCATTGGGTCCTGATGGCTTGCCTAATTTTATCTTGAAGTCTTCTTTCCATGCAGTGTCTATGTACTTGAAAGTTATTTTTGAAAACATGTTACAACAGAGTTCTCTTCCAACTGATTAAAAAATGGCGTCTGTTGTTCCTATACATAAACCTGGCCCATGCAATGCTGTGAATAATTACCACCCTATCTCACTCACTTCTGTGTGCAGTAAAATTCTTGAACATATTTTATATACTGCGATTGTAAAGTACATAGATAGTAATTCCTTATTCAACTCTAACCAGCATGCATTTAGCCAGGGGCTATCATGCATCACACAAGTGGTAGAGTTTACCCATGTTTTAGCAGCAGCACTGAACGACAAATTTTCAGTCGACTGCATTTTTCTCGACTTTCAAAAAGCGTTCGACACTGTTTTGCACTACTTATTGCTGCAAAAACTAACTGGTTTTAATATTAATCCCCAAGTTATTGCAGGGATTGCTGAATATCTACATGAGAAGAGACAATATGTAGTTGTAAACGGCGAACAGTCTGATATAACTAGTGTTACGTCACGGGTACCTCAGGAATTAGTTCTGGTACCATTACTTTTTTATTATATATAAATGACATTAACGAAAACTTACAATCCTATAATAGGCTATTTGCAGATGACTGCATATTATATCGTCGAATTACCTCTGAAATTGACTACTCCGTAATCCAAAATGACCTATGTGCAATATACGCGTGATGCCAGCGATGGGAAATGAAACTGAATCTTAAAAAAACTGTATGCATGAGGTTTTCCAGAAAAAAAAAACCTGGTAAATTTGAATACACAATAAACGGCTCTCCGGTAAAAATGGTGCGCGAATACAAATACCTAGGTGTTTTCTTCTGCACCTCTCTATCATGGAATTGGCATGTAGATTACACAGTAAATAAAACTTGCCGGAGCTTAGGATTCCTAAAAAGAAACACACGTGCTTTTCCACTGCAAACCCGGGAGGTACTATACAAGACATACATGAGATCAGTACTGGAGTGCGCATGTTGTGTGTGGGACCCTGCAATATCTTCAAATAAAGAAAGATTAGAAAACGTTCAGTCCATGGCGGCAAGATATGTGTTTAATGCATGTATGTACGATAGACAATTCAGTGTGACGGAAGCTAAACTGAAGTTAAAATGGAAGTCTCTGCAGCCCCGAAGGACATCATTTTGACTGAAGCTATTGCAAAGCATATTTTATTCACATACTGTACTCGAATTGCCCGTGATGTATACATCAGCCGGCCTCACTACATTTCAGACCGAAATGATCATGAACACAAGATAAGAGAATATAAATGCAATACATCATCTTTTAGCAACTCTTTTTTTCCCGAGAACTATAAGTCAGTAGAATCGACTTCCTTCCACAGTTCTGCAAATTTCTTCAACGGATGCGTTCTTTTCTGCAATAAAAATGATTGAATCTTTCAACCGCTAATCCCTAAAGACTATGTGTGTGCGCCTGGTAGTCGCCATGATCTGTATGGTATCTTGATTGTAAACTATGTTGTTTTGGGGTTAATTTGCCCTTGGGCTAACTGAATGCTGCACTTTGTTTTAATTATCATAAAATTTTCATCTATTTTTGTGGTTTCTGCATCTTTTTCTCTAATACGGATTACTTTTCAGACGCAGCTGTGCTCGGTGCAGCTGTGTATGTTTTGTGTATTGCAAATCTACTTCTTTTCTCTTTTTTTTTACACAAACTTATGTAAACTTATGTAAGCCTGCAAATTTTCATGTTCTTTCTTGTACCCCCCCCCCCCACTATAATGCCTGTATGGGCGCTGCAGGTATTAAATAAATAAATAAATAAATAAATAATAAATAGATGACATAGCTGTTTCTGTCTGCATTGATGCCGAGATCATGGCTGACGTTGCCGGTGCCGCGGAGATGTACTACCTGTGCCGTTGCTGCCTCCAACCAACCTTTTATCGCAATACTGCACTTGCATGATGTTGAGCATCAATCAATGCTGCTGTGGTCGAGGGAGCTGAATGTGCTATTTTGTAAAGCTGCAACGATATTGAGGATGACTGGAACTTGGTGGCGCTAAAAGCCAGACAAGCTTACGAACTATTTTCATGTAAAATAAAGTGCAGTAACTTACAAAGTTACCATACCGTGAGCGACTCATCATGTTAGCACTTGTTAGGATTTGAAAACTGTTTCGAGGCTTGAAATGCTTCAATTTAAACCTTACATAGGCATATTTTGTATTTTGAATTATTAATATACCAAACTATTTCGCGATCCCCTTTGAGTTTGGTATATCTGGGATCGACTGTAGAAGCGGTAGACTGTAGATGCAGCACTTTACATGTCTAGAGACTTGAACATCTCTGGCACGTCGTAGCATAGACAGCAGGACGCGCATATGAATTTCTATTCAAAATGGCGCGGGGATAGTGTTGCCCCCTTGTGGATCAAGATCAGTGATTTTACAAGCATGGTCTGGGAAAAGGTACAACACAACAGAACTCACTGGATGAAGTCAAACTTGATGGTGGAATGAGCTGCCTGAATGAGAGCCCAGAGACACCAGAGCATGCACGAGGCCTGAAAGGAGACAAAACACTCGCATTCAGACAATAAACCTTACATAAGACAACTGACACTGTGTAGTGCAAGGTGAGTAGGAAAGAATAAAAAAAATTAACTTGAGTCACTTGATGCAGACAATCGTATCATGCCAACCCCGCGAAAGCACTACTTACGAAACCATATACTGCGTATTATAAAAAAAATGAGCATATCTGTCATGGCCCAATATTTAAAAAAAATTGAAACAAGTACAGTGGACTCTCACTAAACGGAAATTTGTTAAATGTAACTACTGCTTAAACGAAATTATTGCCTCGGCAATGCTTGTTTTCAGACTTGTATTCTGCATTCATGTTCATCTCTCAGTAAGTTAACAGAACTCCTGTTAAATGGAACATATTTTCCTGGTCCCTTCAGGTTCCATTTATCGAGTGTTTACTGTATGCGCAAATGTCATTATTTTCGGTCAAAAAGAGCAAGCCACTTTGAATAGTAGCAGAATTTGACTTTCGTTATAATGCAACTGATAACCTGCAAAATATATTATGTTTTAATAATTACTATAACCTTGAGCATATTGGCCAGTATAACAAGCTTTTAAACTAAAAAAAATTATGAACCGATGTCAGGGTAATGAACATATTACCCTCACATCGATCCATAATTTTTTTCATCATATTACCCTCACATCGATTCATAACCTTGAAATGAGGCTTTGCAGCAGTGCAGATTTTCCCTATATTTCATTTCATTTATTAACCCTAAGGGCCCACAAATTGGCATTACATAAGGGGGGAGGAAATACAATATATTGTATAACAAATAAATGAAACCAAATAAAAAACGTAACAAGCACGGAAAAAGAAGAATGCAATAACAAGTAAACACAATGGAAACACAATGTAAAAAAAGGCAAGGACAGTTCAATAATACGTCAGGCAGAGTGGAATACATGCAATGAATAAATATATGACAGGATACAATTTAAGATAAGAAACGCATGGAATAAATGAAAATTTGAATAAGACAATTGAGCTAGTATAGCAGGACTGCTCACTAAGATAATATAGCAGGGCTGGTTAAAAACCAGTCATTTCTTTAATGTTTGTAATGATGTGCAGAAAAGTGTTCCACTCGTTTATCAATAACACCAAAGGAGGGCATAAATATTTTTCAGTGCGAGCGAACACCTGATGTACCTCGTGATCGGGGTCACATCAGGCTGAAATGTTCACGGCTTGATGAATGAATTTGCATAAAAAAGGACTGTAGCTAAAGCAAATGCTGTGAAAGAATAATCTCGAATATTTTCTGCATGTTGCAAGCAATAGACGGTTTCTGTATTTGTAAACAAACTGGCTCGCGCCGAACGGCCTACCCCAGCAGACTTCCGGCTATGCTTTTTCAATGGTCCCGGCGGTGTTTTCGCGGTGTGTTTGAGTTTGATGTTTCATTATTTCTGGCACATTCCTTATGATGTGTTTGGAGCAACGCCTAGCGGTTACATGAAGTAGCTCGACGTAGCGCACGGCAGGTACAGGTGCAGCCACTGCTGCAGGTAACACGGCTTGCGTGGCCGACGGGCGCCGCCTAAATATCTGTCATGGCGTTCCGATGAGCGCGGCCTCCTGATCCATGTTATCTCTGACAGTGGTCTCACCTATACAAACAGAAAATGCATAAAATGCAGAAGAAGTTCGTCAGCGAACTTAATTGGGCCAGTTGGTTCTGCATGTCGACGATGTGGATGCACTTTGAAGACGCGAACCGGGAATCGACAGTGCACACGCACCTGTCTTTTCCTTGTCCGGATCTTCAAAGTGTTCCCACATTGTCGACATGGAGGAGAAGAGTTGCTCGATTCATAGCGAAGTTGTTCAATTCAGCTTCTCGACTAGAACTGAAAACCTTCCTCCTGTTGAACCCCGAACATATTTTTGTTTTTGTCTAAGCACACAACCTCAGGATAAAAAGCTTATTTCTGCGCCTGTGTCACACTGGGCACTTTTTAGAGAGATCAGCGGCAAGTGGAATCGCTCGTGATCCGAAGTGTTTGTGTGACTGAGAAATTATAAAATATACTGATGTGTGGACATCAACTGCGGCTGCAGGCTCATGCGAGCTGTTGTGGTTTACTCAAGCGTAATTAAGCTATATTCATGAATCAAACTTTCAAGTTGAACCCACCTAAACCTACAGTACATGTTCACACCCAAAAGATAAATTAGCTATAAAATGCGGCGATGTTCATTAGCAGCAGATAAACAGGCAATCAGCCATTTGCTCAAACAGATGAGAGCCCAATCTCCGGCGACGCTTTAAAAAAAATCAAATGCAACGACAACGAAACATGGACACCACGACATACACTGCTCTTCGATTCATGTTAAGCGTGGCTATATACTTTGTGTCCCGTGTTGTTTCGAACAGTACACATCATTAATATCGCTCAAACTATAAATAAAACACCTTTGCGATGGATATTCAGTGTTAGCTTTCACATTTTTCGACCCAATTCAGGCGTCAGTACACTTATCTGCAAAGGGTGGAAGACGACTGTGACTGATGTGTTGCCGGCAACCCGGTGTTTTCAACTAGTCTAACGTCCGAGTATCGCCTCTGTGCCATTGGTCTGCGCTCAGCTTTATATTACCTTTGATGATGTGGGCAGAAAAAACCTACGCGCTCTTAGTGGAAATCACCGGTGGGAATCCAGTATTCTCGCATGATCGCTGCAATGCAAAAGCACTTGCTATCGTCATCGAATGGAAAACCGAACGTTTTGAATAACCTATAAAAGTAATTTAGACATGTAGACTGCATCCTGGCTTGACACAGCTGTGCTCGAGTTGCCAGCGCTTCGTCGGAATAATTTTATCCGCATAAAACGTCAGAACACAAGTAGCCGCGACCAGAAAACAAGCTAAACCGGATGTTTCCAGGGGTGTTTTCTGGTGAACGCACAATGTTGCCAGAGACCGGCAGGCTCTGGCGACATCGTCTATAAAAGTGCCAAGAGGACGAAGCACTGAACCTGGCGGCTCTATTTTGAACTGACTCAAGCATGTCAATAAGGTGTGCTTGATGCGGATGCTATATGTTAGAAGCATACTCTTGGAATGAGCAAATTAAATTGCCTAAAGTTTAGTGTCTCTAATAGCCAGGCATAGGCAGCGTTTTAAAATGCCTGGCATGCAAAATGCTGTGCTGGTAATTATTTCTACATAAAGTAATATATAGGACTGTAATGCAGGATAACACCGAAGTACTTGCTGGATGATGCCGTTTTAATGGAACAGTTGTTGATGAGCTATACATAGGCGATAGACTAGCATCTCGGCTAAATTTAACATGCATTTGCTATTTGCTGCACCATTGGTTGATATTTAGCATATTTTTTACTCTTCCCAAAACCACCATTTGATTATGAGAAACATCATTGCTGCACCATTGGGAAAGTGTAGTTAAGTGATATTGCTGAGTTAAGATGTAGTTCTGGTTAGCTATTTCTTCATATACTACACAGTCATCAGCTAAAAGTCGTACGACAGACTGTATGTCAAAGAGCTAGTAAACAACCCCGAGGTCCAAAAATTTTAATAGAGAGAGATATGTGCAATTTTGTATCTAAACATGCTGCCCCAAGAATTTTGCAAATACGTCCTTGATAAGGAAGTTACAGGGGTTAGAACGTCCATTTCAGCCGGTTTGAAATTTTTATGCGGCCCATCACCACTCTTCTCCACAAAGGAGTAGCCCGTCGCCGTGGCTTTGCCCACTTCGGCAATGTGACATGGCGTCCAAGATATGTCATCGGCACACAACCAACGACTAAGCAGGGCTTCCCTACAAGAGCACGTGTCATAACAGCGTGGGCATCCCCTTGCGGTAATGTAGTGAGATGCCTCTTTATCTCGGACACTTTCGTTCTGGCAATACTACTTCTTCCAAAGTCTCGGGCTATACAAAACGGCAGAGGGCAGACAAGAAAAATGAAAATGCGGACTATGTGACTGAAACTGCCCTGCCGATGGGCCAAGGTGCCATCTCATAGGACAAAGAACCAATCGACGGGCTCAGTGGTGCGTAACGTTGCCCATAGGCAAGCTTTTATCAGACTGCGTGTATTAGGAGGATTGGTCAGGTAAGAAAAACAGGTGCAAGATTGTTTTTCGGAATGGAGGGTCTGCACCGCCCACAGCACTGTAATATTCAGAAAATGTGATCATCGCGGTCTACTGTACAAATTGGGGAGCCTATTTGGTGGCGTTGCTATGACCGTCGTCAGTAGACACCATGCTGTCGCTGAGAAACGTAGCCGGGCAGCGCTCCCACGCCTGGAACCCCAGTTCTCTCGGAACCAACGTCCAGTGGCAAGGAGCGAAAAAGGGATTAGAAGACGGTCCGGGAGCCAATGTCCCTACAAGCAATTCCTCCGGGCCTGCTTGTTTGGCGAGACGGCGAAGCAGACCAACTGTACAGGTCATGTCTCCGCGATTCAAGTGTTTACTCCTTGGCTGCCCTTCCTGGGAAAGGCAGAAGAAGCAACCCAACCGCCAAATTGTTTCGCCAAATTTTCCCCTATTCTCAGAGCATTGCGTCAAAAGGGGCAATAACTATTCGGCGGACCATGTGCTACTGAATTATGCCCTGTGGGTGGTGTCGTGTGTGTGTGATTGACGTTCCAATCAAGGAGGAGGAGCTTGATAGGGTTTAAAAAGATGCTGCAGAATGCAGGACGTGGCTCTGAACCATGTAACGGTTCAACCACCACGCTCGTGGTTTGGAAAACTCTCAACCTCTCTATGCTGTAAATAAGTGTAAATAGTGCCACAAACCTGTGTGTTTTTCATATGCCCATCTTGTCAGCGTTCGCTTCCTCAACCTGAAGTTACGCCACGCTATCGCAAGAAACCGGGCAGACCCCGGTCCGCAACTACTGGTGATCAAGGCTGGAATTCGGAGCGACAACAGGTGAACAGCATGGAGAGCCACCACAACAGGTTGGCAGCGGT